TAGGTTCCAGATGGTGTGAGTCGGTGTCGTGTTTGTTATTCGTTCTGTTTCCGTACGCTGTTAATCACGCCGTTCTTTTTACTTTTCAGCTCATGTACTGATATTAATAGACGAGTAAAGCGTATCGTTCGTGCTTACTCGTTCTCTCTCTATTCACGATCGTACTCGCTTGTTCTCTTCGGTAACAATTTACTCGTCTATTAATCGATAGGCCGCTACCTCCGCCCTGAAAAATTCGACACGGATTTGAGCGCTCCTGACGCTCCGAAGCAGTGGACCTATTGGCTTCGAACGTTCAAAGCCTTCTTGAAACGCGTCCAGACCGAAGATCCAGACAAGCTAAACATACTGATTAACTTCTTATCGCCGACTGTCTATGAACACGTATCTGATTGTGATACCTTCGACGACGCCCTATTTACACTTCAATCTTTGTACGTACGCCCTAGGAATGCAATTTTTGCTCGACATCTCCTAGCAACCTGCAAACAAGAATGTGGCCAGAACGTGGATCAGTTCATCCAAAAGATCAAAACACTCTCCAAGGACTGCGACTTTCGTTCTGTAACTGCCGAAGAATACCGTGATGACGCTATGCGCGACGCTTTTATCACCGGATTTCTGTCCAATAACATTCGAACGCGACTTTTAGAGCAAGGGTCTCTCAACTTTCAAACCGCGTACGACATGGCGGGGTCGTTAGAATCTGCTCAACAACAGTCTCAGTCTCAAGCTCCGAAAATCTGCCTTGTGCCTCATCAGCTTCGACATCGTCGCCTGCACCTCCCGTTCCTACTGTGACGGTCGAATTCGAAACGGTTCTATCCGCTGCGTCCAAAGAAACGTGCTACTTTTGTGGCTACTCAAAACATCCATGGACAAAGTGTCCCGCCAGAGACGCTACTTGCAAAGCGTGTGGGAAAACGGGAAATTTTAAACGTGTTTGCCGATCAACATCAACCAATCGGGTTGTTACATCGGCCATTGGACCCCTTATATCTTCCGCGTTAACGGCCTCTGCTCCCACCTGCTTATCGCGTGCTACAACTAAGATTCGTGTCAATGACATTGAGTTGCATGCCTTGGTCGACACTGGCAGTTTTAATAGTTACATCTCTCAGACAGTTTTCAACTCCCACAGGTTGCAGGTGCAACTCCCGAATTACCATGGCATCCACGTCCCTGTCGTGTGATGTGACCGGTTACTGTACCGTAACAATTCGCTACTGTGGAGCTCAATACAATAACGTTAGAATTTCCGTAATGCGTAACCTGTGCGCTGACGTCCTTCTTGCCTCCAAATGCTTCAGTATGGTCGGGAGTGGGTGTCTCGGTCCCCGAAATGGCCATTCGCCCCGA